TTAGGCACCAGCACAAGGGCCTCAGGGTGGGACCGTGTATCCTCCACACACAGAGAGCCCAGGGCAGGGCTGAGTCTCCCTCTCCCCACTCCCCTCAGAGATTCCCTCCCGGACCTGTCCCCTCTGTCCCGTAGGATTGGTCGCAAAGCCAGCATCCTGATCCAGCTGCTGCTCTTCGCCATCATCGGCCTGGCCACGGCGTTTGTGCCCACCTTCGACCTCTACATGGTCCTGCGCTTTGCTGTGGCCACAGCCGTCTCTGGCTACGCCTTGACAAATGTCACCCTGCGTGAGTATCTGGCCTGCAGCCTGAGCCACAGGCTGAGGCCCTGGGGACTGGCCTCACCCCCACACTGCCTCAGGGGGCCTTGCCAGGGATCACACCTACAGGGTCACACCTCTGCTTCCTGGGCTGGGAAGGAGGCCCCTACCCTGACAGGGTGGCTTCTGGGGAGGTGGGGAGGGTGAGGGCAGGGCCTGGCCCAGTCTCCGCATCTCCGTTCACAGTTGCAGAGTGGGTGGGGCCCTCGCGGAGGACCCAGGCCGTGGTCCTGGCGCAGTGCAGCTTCTCCGTGGGGCAGATGGCCCTGGCCGGGCTTGCCTATGGCGTCCGTAACTGGCGGCTCTTTCAGATCGCAGGCGCCTCACCCGTCCTGCTGCTCTTCTTCTACTTCTGGTGAGGAGGTGCTTCCCAGAGCAAGCACCCTCGGTCAGCCGTGCTCCACAGGCTTAGAGTATAGGCTCGCATTCCTCCCATGGGCCGCTCAGGGACACGTCTGGGAGAGGGGCCTGCCCAGGGTATGGGGTTCAGTGTGCACTGGAATGGCCAAGGAGGCTCTGGGGTACTGGGGGGCTCTAGGGCTTCGTGCCCCATACTCACACCCGTTCCTGACCTGCAGGGCTCTGCCAGAATCTGCCCGCTGGCTCCTGGCCCGGGGGAGGGTCGAGGAGGCTAAACAAGCCATCCAGAAGGCGGCCTCAGTCAACCGGCGGAAACTCTCCCCAGAGCTGCTGAGCCAGGTACTCACGGCCGGGCGCTGCCTGCCCCTGGTCTGACCCACAGACCGTTCTGCCGGCCTCACTCGGCATCTTCCCCCCAGCTGGCCCCAGAGAAGACAGGCCCCTCGGGGAACGCCCTGGATCTGTTCAGACACCCCCAGCTCCGGAAGGTGACCCTGATTCTCTTTGCCGTCTGGTGAGGGCACTGGGGCCGTGCCCCTCCCTGGTGTGGGACAGTGGCTCTCTGGCTGGGATGGGCTGCGCGGGAATGACTGGGCCTCTCCCTGTCTGTCTAGCCCAGCGGTTCTCAACCTGTGGGTCGCGACCCCTTTGGCGGTCGAACGACCCTTTCACAGGGGTCGCCTAAGACCATCCTGCATATCAGATATTTACATGACGATTCATAACAGTAGCAACATCCCTGCCCAAGGCATAGCCAGCGACGGCAGAAGTCTCCCTGACGGGGACTTCTGGCCAAGTCAGGCCCCCTCTCTGAGTGTGATGGTGTCTCCTCACCCAGAAGTGACAGGGACCCTTGGGTACTTTGTAGGTTTGTGGACAGTCTGGGGTACTTTGGCCTGAGCCTCCAAGTGGGGGACTTTGGCCTGGACATCTACCTGACGCAGCTGATCTTTGGGGCCGTGGAGGTGCCCGCCCGCTACTCCAGCATCTTCATGATGCAGTGGTTCGGCCGCAGGTGGAGCCAGATGGGGACTCTGGTTCTGGGTGGCCTCATGTGTATCAGCATCATCTTCGTCCCGGCAGGTACCTGCACTGGCTCTCCCCTGGCCCCCCCCACCCTCCCTCACCTGTGGCCAGAGGCCCATGGCTTCTCTTTCCGGAGCGAGGGCTTCCCCGGGGTTAAGTGTTTGGGTGCGGAGGGCAGGGAGCAGGGCCCAGGGGATGGGCTGTCTGCCCTCCGTGTGGCTGACCAGCCTCCTTCACCAGACCTGCCCGTAGTGGCCACCGTGCTGGCCATCGTGGGGAAGTTCGCCACAGCTGCTGGATTTACCATCTCCTACGTCTACTCCGCTGAGCTCTTCCCCACCATCATCAGGTAAGGGCTGCTGGCACCGTTCCCCTCCTCTGCTCCCGAGACCCTGATGGTGGCCATCCCTCCTCCGCCCTCGCCGCCATCCACATAGAGCTTTCGGGGTGGCTCTGGGCAGCCGTGCTGGGTGGGGGCCAGGGCATCTACAAATGTCGTCCAAATCCAAATTGTCCCAGGCTGGTAGCGAAGTAAGCCACGCCCCGGCCACGTCGGGACTGTGCCACAGGATACATCTAAGAATGAATGGCTCCGAAGAAGGAACCGTCATGTGGGGGGAGGGGTACGCAGGAGGGGCAGCCTTCGCCCTGGAACTGGACAGACGGGCAGGAGTGCAGCGGCTGACAGAGAGGCCTGGAGGTGGCAGCAGCCTTGGACTCTCAGTAGAGGAAGAAAGGGGGGGGAGAGGGGGGGCTGGATGCGCCCGGAGCCCCTGCAGGCCCGGGGGGCCATACAGAGATCTGGGCTCTCCCAAGGAGGTACGCTGAGCTGGCGCTGCAGCCTGGCGTTGAGGCCAGGTCCCCAGCTGGCACGGGCTTCCCCGCAGGCAGACGGGCATGGGGCTGGTGGCCATCTTCTCAAGGATCGCGGGCATCCTCACGCCCCTGGTGATGCTGCTGGGCGACTACCACGAGGCCCTCCCGATGGTCATCTACGGCAGCCTCCCCATCGGGGCAGGCTTGCTCTGTGCGCTGCTGCCCGAGACACGCGGCCAGGCCATGAAGGATACCATCCAGGACCTGGACCAGGGCCCCCAGCCACGGTGAGCAGCCCGCTTTCTCTGCAGCCCGGGACCCTGGCTTCCCATCAGTGCCCTACAGCAGCCCACGCCTCTGCCGCACCATCCGTCCGTGGCCACTTACAGACCAATGAGGGGTTTTAGGAACCACAGACATCTGACTGGCCTTGGGGTTAGATCCCCCTACTTAGGGGGGAGGGGACACTGCTATGGAGTCACTTCCGGGTCAGCCAGTGATGGCTTTTCGCTCCTTCTAGGACTAAGAAGTTAGCGCCCGCAGGAAATGAAACGGGGGCCTCAGGAAGAACTCCCAGCCCAGGGCAGGCCTCTGTGAGCAGCACGTCCTTCTGACCTCATTCCCTGGACACCGCAGGACCTGAGAGCAAGACTGGCTTTGCTGATGGAGGCAACACACCAGGACCCGACTCCAGCATCAGCACCCACTGCCCCGCCCACTCCCAGAAGCACCTGGGACGGGGCCTCTCTCCTTCCATCACCTTTCTTATTCCTGGAGCCCCACCCCCAACACCCTCTTCTGGGTCAGGGTCTTGGTTGTAACTTGCCCTCTGATAGTCTTGTGGGGGGTACAGCTCCCCCGACCCCTCCATCTCTATGGCGCCTAGAGGTGGTGGTAGGTGCTGGGCCAGTTCTCCTCTTTGTAAACCCAGCGTGGACGCGTCCAGCAATCCTCTCGGATACCTGGACAGTTGTCACTCACGGTTCTCAGCTATGAAGCGACGGACAGTTCTGTTTTGCTTCCTACTTGGTTACCTTCATGGAGTCAGTCCCAAGCCAAAGCCTTCTCTTGGGGACACTGAACCGTCTTTCTTGGCACAGTGTGGCACCCGGGCCGAAACTGCCATGGTGAGAAACAAAAACCCGAGCGGAGCGGGGAAAGGGCCAGGTCAAAGCGGAAGGCGGTTTTCAGCTCTAAGATGTGGACCCTCGCCTCCCTTTGAGGCGCAGTGACCTTTCCCGAAAGAGACTTAAATGGACCCTCTGTTGACACAAGCAAGATGCAAAATTCACCTATTGCCTCCGGACAGGTCTTCGGAGACTCATTTCTGTAGGGACTGGGGGCCCCTGGGGAGAAAGGTTTTTCCCCCTGGGTGTATTACAGAGTGCCCCTGGCTTCCTCTGGCCCACGGGTAGATGCTCGTCTTTGGGCGCTGGCTGGTGTGAGATCAGCAGCTGAGACCCCGAGAAGACATGCAGCCTGATGTGGACTCGACCCCAAGGAGCTGCGGGCGGCCTGGGCTGGGCGGGGCTGTCCTCCCTCGGTTGGGGAGCCCAGAACAGCCCAGATTCGGGGTCGTGCTAGCAGTGGGCCCACTGCGCATGCTATAGCCAGCTTTGTGGGAGTTCGTGCAGAGCTCCCCTCTCAGGCTTGGTGCAGGAGCCCTCCTACGCCGGGCCTCGGGCTTCCCATTTTCAAATGGATGATTTTCTAGGTCCCTTAACACTAATCAGCAAGGACTCATCTTGGCGGCCCTGGCTGGGTGTGACAGGCAGAGGGCTTCACAGTCTGCCCCCAGGGTCCAAGGAGATAGGAAAGGAGGGCCACCCTCCACCCTCTGGACACTGCCAGGCACTGGGCTGGACTGAGTCCTCAAGTGTGGCCCTGACTCAGCCACCCTGGACATTGCCTCACTCGCTGCCCACTCACCCACTCCTCTGTCAGGGAGGTGTGCGTCTCGGTTTCCTTGGCTTCTGCCCAGGAGGAGCCCCCGGGCCACCAGGCTTAGTGCCCGCCCTCCTCAGAGAGACCCCCGAGATTGACCCCTGTGCTGTGCATCTTGTGTTTCCTATGTCACTGTCAAAGGCTAAGGCACCTGCACTTCCCCTGCCACCTCCTCTACTTTGGCACTGTCCCCACCGGGTCCAACCCACTGACCTGGCCTTCAGTTCACCCAGTGCCATAGGTGGGTGGCTTTCAACAGTAATTTATTTTCTCACAGTCCTGGAGGCTGGATGTCCAAGATCAGGGTGCCAGCAGGGGCAGGTTCTGATGAGGGCCCTCTTCTTGGCTTGCAGGCAGCCACCTTCTCGTGCTGCCTTCACATGGTCTGTCCTCTGTGTGTGGATGGAGGGTGCGAGATCTCTCTCCTTCCTAGAGAGCCACTAATCTCATCAGGAAGGCCCGCCTTCATGACTTCATCTAACCCAAATTACCTCCCCAAGGCCCATCTTTTTTTTTTTTTTAATATATTTTATTGATTTTTTTACAGAGAGGAAGGGAGAGGGATAGAGAGTTAGAAACATCGATGAGAGAGAAACATCGATCAGCTGCCTCCTGCACACTCCCTACTGGGGATGTGCCCGCAACCAAGGTACATGCCCTTGACCAGAATCGAACCTGGGACCCTTGAGTGGGACCCTTGAGTCCGCAGGCTGACGCTCTATCCCAGTGATGGCGAACCTATGACACGCGTGTCAGAGGTGACACGCGAACTCATTTTTTTGGTTAATTTTTCTTTATTAAATGGCATTTAAATATATAAAATAAATATCAAAAATATGTCTTTGTTTTACTATGGTTGCAAATATCAAGTAATTTCTATATGTGACACGGCACCAGAGTTAAGTTAGGGTTTTTCAAAATGCTGACACGCCGAGCTCAAAAGGTTCGCCATCACTGCTCTATCCACTGAGCCAAACCGGTTAGGGCCCCAAGGCCCATCTTTACCTATCACTGGGGTTTAGGGCTTCAACACAGAAATGTGGGAGACTGGGGGAGGACGCATTGTCTACAACACCATCCACTGGGCCCTGTGGTCGGTAGACCTTGTTCTGCCTCCCCACCTCTGTCCTCAGATTTGAGGATGTAAGCCATCATTTTCATTTCTATGGAGAGATAGACATCATTTGCCAGCATCCTGTACGTTATCCCTTCACCCTTTAGTTGTGCCCCAAGTTGCCCCAATTTGCAAAACCATAGCAGCTAAAGAACCCAAACATCTGCCTTTTCTCTCCCTGCACCCCAGACTGCTGGGCACTGCGGGGCACTGCTGAAGAGGGTCACACGCCCACCAAGTCTTTTCAGTGAATGAGCTGCTAGTCATCAGCCTCAACTGGGCCTTTCACTGCGCCCAGCTTTCCCACCAGCTTTTTCTAGTCAGCTTGTTTTCCAACTCTCACCAGTGGCTTTTTCTTTTCATATATATATATATATTAGAGACCTGTTGCATGAAGAGATTTGTGCTATAGGCCTTCCTTCCCCTCGCTGCCGGCACCAGTTTTCCTCTGGCACCCGGAACCCAGGCCTTTGCTCCCGCCACAGTGGAGAAGTCACACCTCTTCAGTCTTCAGTTGTCTTCAATCTTCAGTCTTCACTTGGGCGGAGCCTTCAGTCTTTGCTCTGTGCCTGCATATGCAAATTAACCGCCATCTTTGTTGGGTTAATTTGCATACCCATCCTGATTGGCTGGTGGGCGTAGCAGAGTGACACCAATTTGCATGTTTCTCCTTTATTAGTGTAATACTAGAGGCCTGATGCATGAAATTCGTGTATGGATAGGGTCCCTAGGCCTGGCCAGCAGATCAGGGCTGATCTGTGGAGCAATCTGCGAGGCAATGGGGGGGGGGAGCCCCACTGGCACCTGCCTTGACCAGCCTGGCACCACCTGCTTGCCAGCCAGCCCTGCCCCACAATCTCCCCGCTGCCACTGCCTGTCACCTCCTTCTGCCAGGGCAACCGGAGGGGCAATTGGGGGCCCCACTGGTACCTGCCTTGGCTGGCCTGGGGCCAGCAGGCTGGGGGCAGCTCCTGCATTGAGCGCCTGCCCCCTCGTGGTCAGTGCGCCTCATTGCGACCAGTAGTTTTGCAGTTTGGTCAATTTGCATATTAAGCTTTTATTATTTATTGATTTTAGAGAGGAAAGAAAAGGGAGAGATGGAAACATCAATGATGAAACATTGATCAGCTGTCTCCTGCACACCCTCTATTGGGGATTTGGGATTGAGCCTGCAACCTGGGCATGTGCCCTGACCTGGAATTGAACTGTGACCTCCTGGTTCACAGGTCAACGCTCAACCACTGAGCCATGCCGGCCGGGCTCACCAATGGCTTTTTCTAACCTCCCATCTGCATCCCTTCATTCTGCCTCCTAACAGCCTCTCCTCCTTCCAGAGAAGGAGAAGCCATCCCATGGCAGCTCCCAGACTTCTCACCACCAGTCTTCCACCTCCGCTCTCTCCCCTCCCTCCTGCGGCAGTGGAAGAACTGCCCTGCACAGAGCTGCTAGGGAGCCAGGCCCGAGGCTCGGCGCTCATTGCTGCCCCCAGATCTGGGAGCAGCTGAAGGGGGTCCTATCCCCCCTCTGCCTCTCCTCCCTCCCCCACCGTAGGCCTGGGGACTGAGGACAGGTGAGTTGTGTCTGGACAGATGGAAGATCTTCCCTCAGTGGAGATGGAACCTTTAAGGGGAGGCCAGGGGCTCCAGGAGCCGGGAACAGTCTGCACAAAGGCCTGGAGCTGGCTCGTGTGGAGACTTTCCCACCTGCCTTGCCCCAGTCTCTCCCTGGGGTCTGTGGCCAGCTATGCCCCTGGAGTAGAATGCTGCTCCTCACCATGCCTACCCCACCCCCTGCCCCATTGTGACACTACTTCCTGGCCACCAATGGAACCCAAAGGTTCTGCTGCCAACCACCTGGCTAGGCCTGGAGTATGCTGAGGTGGGTCCTGGCTTTGGTTTGTGGTTCCGTCTCCAGGGAGGAGGGACGGGGAGGGTGGCAGTTTGGATGACACCTGGCAAGTGTGGGGCCGTATTCTCAGCAGAGATGTGGACAAGAGCCTGCCAGGACCGTTCGACTGTGTGGAGTCTGTGAAAGGAGCAGGCTGCCCTCACAGGAAGTGTGGGTTTGGGGTGGCATCTGGCCATTTCCTGCCTCAGATGGAGCATTGCTTCTGGCTATATGTTTATTTTCCAGGCTTCAGTTTCCTCTTTTTCTGTTGTTACTCCTCACCCAAGGATATTTTTTCTATTGATTTTTTTTTTTTTAGAGAGAGTGGGAGGGAAGGAGGGAAGGGGGCGGGGAAAGAGAGAGAACATTGATGTGAGAGAGAGACATAGATTGGTTGCTTCCTGTATGCACCCTGAATGGGGCTGGGGATCAAACCTGCAGCCCAGGTAGGTGCCCTTGACCGGGAATCGAACCTGAGACCCTTCAGTGTTTGGGCCGATGCTCTAACCACTGAGAACGCTGGCCAGGGCTCACTTTCCTCTTTTGTACATTGAGAACCAATTACCTTGGGCCTGTCCACTTGGCAGGGGACCTGGGGGTCAGTAGAGGGAGCAAGTGCTCCAGGGCCTTGCTGACTGTCAAGAGCCCCGTGGGCATTCAGGTGCTGCTGGGGGACACTGAAGGGAACCCCGAGGGCAAGGTGGGGACAGCTGGCTCCTGAAAGCCAGAGATCTGTGGGCAAAGCAAAGCGCCCTCCCTGGGAAGTCTCCTCCATCCACCTCCGCCCCCCTCCAACCTTACACATGGATGCACCGTATTAGTTTCCTAACGCTGCTGTAACAAATGACCACAAATGTAGTGGCTCGAAACAACACACATTTATTACATCGCAGCTCTGGAAGTCGGAAGTCCAAAATGGGCCTCACTGGGCATAGGTCAAGGCATCAGTCAGCAGGACTGCGTTCTTTCCTGGAGGCTCCTGGGGAGCATTCGTTCTCCTGCCCTTTCCAGCTGCTAGAGCTGCCTGCATTCCTTGGCTGCCATTTTACATTCCCAGGGGCACTGTACAAAGGTTCCAATTTCTCCACTTCCTCAACACTTGCTATTTTCTGGTTGTTGTTTTTTTTAAGTATTAGCCACCCTAATGGGTATCTTTGCACATATTTGTTAAAATATATTTTTATTGATTTCAGAGAGGAAGGGAGAGGGAGATGGAAACATCCTATACAGTAAAAGGCTAATATGCAAATTGACCGAAGAGGGGAACGACCAGTGGCTATGATATGCACTGACCACCAGGGGGCAGACACTCAATGCGGGAGCTGCCCCCTGGTGGTCAGTGCGCTCCCACAGGGGGAGCGCCGCTCAGTCAGAAGCTGGGCTCATGGCTGGTGAGCACCGCAGCGGTGGCTGCAGCGCTAAGGACCCCCTCAGGGGATGTCCGACTGCTGGCTTAGGCCCACTCCCTGGGGTCCCAGACTGCTAGAGGGTGCAGGCTGGGCTGAGGGACACCCCCCCACCTCAGTGCCCGAATGTCATGCACCGGGCCTCTAGTTAATGATGAGAAAGAATCATTCATTGGCTGCCTCCTACACTCCTCGAACCCACAGCCCAGGCATGTGCCCTGACTGGGAATTGAACCATGACCTCCTGGCTTATAGGTCGACTCTCAACCACTAAGTCACACTGGCTGGGCTCATCCTACTATTTTGGTGCCTCACTGCATCAGCTCCATCTCTATGGCCTTCGTTCCTGGCCACTCCTGATCCAGATTTGAGGGGTGTTTTTGGTGCTGTTTTCTTGAAACAATGTTCCCTGGAGAACTCTACTTTTGCAAGACTGGTAGTGCCTTGGTGTGTGTGTGTAAACTAAGTTTCAGCAGCAGGAAAATTGTCGGAGAACTCAGCACTTAGCAGGGCATTGTCTAAAACATTCAAGAAATAGGAATGGGCGGGCCAATGGGGGACAAATTAACTAAGAAACTTCAGAAGCAAAGGGGGGAGCTACAGAGAACATCAAGGTTGGAACCCAAATTGTTCTAAGACAGGCCAATTTCAAGTCAGTGGCTCCACGCCAGCCCCTGACTTCTGGTTGGTAGACACTGAGCTGCATCCTCTCTCTGAACAGATGGCACATGAAGACAATCCCGTGGAGCCCCAACCCCGGCCCTCTATCACGGACTTACCCCAGCAGACGGCGGCAGGACAACCCCGTGCCTGGTCTCTGGACTTGTTGTTACGCCGGTTGAGGTCCATAGAGAGCAACCAGGGTGACAAGTTTGCCAGTATCATGGAAGCGATGGGGAAGTTTGGCCCCTTCCAGCGAAGGCTGGTGGCCCTGGCCTTCATCCCCAACCTCCTGGCGGTCGTGTTCATGTACGCTGACCTCCTCGTGGCCGCAGAGCAGAAGGCCTATTGCAACACCAGCTGGATTCTGGCCGTGGGCCCTAACCTGTCAGAGGCCGAGCAGCTGAATCTGACCCTGCCCCGGGACAGAAATGGCAGCTTCCTGACCTGCCGCATGTTCCTGCCTGTGAGCTGGGATCTGGATTCCATCATCAAGTATGGCCTCAACTACACACAGGCGTGCAGCCAGGGGTGGGTCTATCCTGAGAGCACGACGCGATCAGTGATCAATGAGGTGCGACTTGTCCTGAGTTGCCGGTAGCATGGGCCCAGAGATGTGCCCCCCCCCCCCCCCCCGCCTGTTCCCCAAAAAGTGGAGAAAATGAGACCTCGGGAGGGGAAGCAGTTGGCCCAAGGTCACCGTGCAGAGGAAGGGCCGAGGCAGAAACTTAGAATTCTTGCTGCCCAGCTCTAGCCTCGCCCATCGTAGCCAGAAAGCTAGAGTGGCTTTGGGGGTAGGGACAGAGGCAGGGTTTGCCATCTGTCCAGGGAGTTGCTTCTGCAGTTGTGGCTCTGCCCTCTGAACTCACAGAAGGTAGGGAACTGGAGAAAAAAAGCAGTCTAAGATGCAACCTGGGCCCTTCAGAGCACAGACCTGCCAATCTGAACCTCTGGGCTGGAGCCCAGCATCTGCATTTGGGGAAGGGTCTTTAGTGATGTTGGCCTTTAAACAGGGACCTCTCCATCTACCCCCTATCTTGGCTCTGCCCCTGGTCCCTCTCTTCAGGCCTAACTCCCAGAGTGTGCCAGATGCAGGATGGACGGCAGGGGTGACGGCTGAGGCCTGCTGCCTGTCCCTGTCCCAGGCCCCTTCTGCCTAAACGCCCACCCTGGGAGGAGACTCCGTCTCGGGAACCAGACGGCTGACCCTAGGTGGAGGCCTGTGGCCAACCCCTGCGTGTAATCCCCAGTTTGATCTGGTGTGTGGTGAGGAATTTTCCCCGGAAGCCGTGCAGTCCATGTTCCTGACAGGCCTCCTGACAGGGGCGCTCATCTTCGGGTTCATAAGTGACAAGTGAGTCTCCCAGAGTTTCTTCTGGTCCCTGGGGTGCCCCTGCCTCCTCCTCATGGGCATGCAGAGCTGAGGCGTCTCAGACTGAGGGAGGCAAGGGTGGGGACACTCTGGAGGCCCATGGATGGCTCAGGACCTGGCCCGAGTGTTGGGCTGGGTCCAGACTCAGAGGTTCATGCGCTTGACACAGCCTTCCCTCCATGCCCGCAGGCTTGGCCGCTACCCCTCCATCCTGCTGTCGAACGTGGGGATCATCATCTTTGGCTTTGGGACAGCCTTCGTCAACAGCTTTCACCAGTACCTGTTCTTCCGCTTCGGGGTGTCCCAGGCCCTGGTGGGCCACAGCATCAGCAGCATGGCTTTAAGTGAGGCCAGGCTGCACGCGACGGGGTGCATGGAGGGGAGTGTGCACCGGGAGGGCAGGATTTGAGAGGATGGGGGTGGGGGGGAGGGGCCACGAGCCTGCAGGACCGAGTTGCCATCCAATGGCACATGGAGCAGAGGAAGCAGCCTCCGCCTCAGGCTGCCTAGAGGGACAGAGAATGTGTGCTCAGTCTGAACTGTCCCAAGCGGGGCTGGGCGTCTCAGAGGCTGGCTGCAGGAGCCACCCCAGGGACCCCGAGCTAACCCGGGTTTTGTCCTCTTGGCTTCTGCACAGCTGTCGAGTGGCTGGTGGGCGAGCACCGGGCCCACGCCATCATCCTGAGCCAGTGCTTCTATTCTCTGGGGCTCATTTTCCTGAGTGCGTTTGCCTACAGCTTTCCCAACTGGCGGCTGCTGTTTCTGTTGGGCACGGCCCCCGTGTTATTCCTCGTCTCCTTTATCTGGTAAGCCGAGGGGCCCGGGGCACGCCCAGGGCTGGGTCCGATGGACTTGGAGATTGAGGGTTGGGAAGGATCCTCGAAGGGACGGAGTGAATGGATTGCTCCCCAGGAGGAACGTGGGGATGAGATGAGAGAGAGCCAGGGGCAGAGCCTCTGGGACCCCAGCATTAACCCTCCTCAGAAGAGACCCTTAGAGGGATGTCAGAGCCGGTCAGAAAACCAAAAGGCAACGTGTCAAAGGGCAAGATTCAAGGACAAGGAATGGTCAGGGTTGAGGGCAAACAAAAAAAAGTCTAGTAAAGTTGGTCTTGATAACCTTGAGTTGACTTCCCCGGAGCGACAGGGAGTTGAGGAATGAGGAGGGACTGAAAAATGGAGCCACTTAGGGGACAACTTTTTCACAGTGTTGGGCTGAACTCCCAGCTATGTGGATGGGCTCTAATAGAGGGTGTGGGCATGGAAGACAGTGCCCTCCGTGTGCCCGGGCAGGTGAGGATGACCCTTGAGATAGAAAGTAGTTGAGCTCTTCAAGGTGGCTGAGAGGAAAGACACTGCCAGGCAGGGGAAATAATGGCCAGGGTGACACCGAGCAGCTGCGGGGCCTGTGTGTGGCTTAGGAAGGGGAAGGGGTGACTTCCAAGGAGGGACGGAGGTTGACGGTCACCTTCAAGGCCTCCGTTATCTGAATGACCTCATGCTGGAACAGGATGGCCACCCCTGAGGCAGAGATGGGGCCCACTTGGGTGTCCGGGGCATCTTGGAGTGATGAATAAAGGAGGGTGTGCCGTGCAGGATTCTCCCAGAGTCCCCTCGGTGGCTGTTGGTGAAGGGGAAGGTGGAGGAGGCCAAGCACGTACTGCGCTATGCGGCTGACATGAACAAGACGACCATTCCTTTAAGTCTGTTGGACAAGGTAAGAGGCCTCGGGCCCAGTGTAGGGCAGGGCTGGGGGTTGTGGAAGGGCCTCTTCCCGCCTCATCCTTTCAGGTGGGGCCTTGGCCCCGAGGGTGTCTCCAGCCCACTGCTTGAAGGGAACAGTGGCAGCAAAATCAAATCCCGTCAGGGGAAGACCAGAGACCAGGCCGGCACTGTGGGGGCAGGGCCCTGTGGGTCTTCTAGGGGTGGGAGCAAGCTGGGGTCCCCGCCCTGCCTCTGGCTGGTCCTCTTTGTCCTGTAGCTACAGATGCCTGGAAAGAAGGTGACCAATGCCTCCATCCTGGACTTCTATAACAATAGTCAACTGCGCAAGGTGACCTTGGTGATGGGCTGTGTGTGGTGAGTCCCCAAGGCTGGCCAGCAGGGACTGCAAACACAAGTGCATGCCAGGAGCTCTGGTGAAGGAATGGGGCATGGCCTGGCTGCAAGGGAGCAAGGCCTAAGGACCGGCGTGGCCGGTAGATTCCAGATCTGTGTGTATTTCTCCCTTCCGTTCCCACCCTGCTCCCCCCTCCTTCGCTTCTGTCTTCATTTTGCCCCGTCTGCATGAGGGTATCTGTGTGTGTGTGTTCTCTCTCTAGTTCTCTCTGAGTAGTTATCTTCCGGTCTCGTTCCAGGTTCAGTGTTGGTCACAGCTATTCTACACTGACCTTGAAGATGAGGGATTTTGGTGTGAAGTACCAGATGAGCGAGATCATTCCTGGCATGATGGGGATGCCTGCCCGGCTCTGCAGCATCTTCCTCTTTGAGCATTTTGGGAGGAAGTGGACTATGGCTGGGTCTCTCTTCCAAGGCAGCTTCCTGAACTTGCTTATTCTTTTCATCCCCTCAGGTACACCCCCTTCCCCCGCCCCATGCCTCTGTCAAATCCCTCCTTGTGCCTCCTGCCCTGTCTCTCCAACAAGACACCCTGGGAGTCAGCATCCTACACCTACAACCTACCTTCTCTGCAGGGGCCCAGGTACCTCCAGAGCAGGCACTAATCGCTAGAGCACTGCCCTCCCTGGGCAGTGGGGTCCCCAAGACCAGGCACTCACAGCTCTCAGAGGCCTGGGAGAGGGTGAGCTGTCCGGAGTAATCATCCCTGTGTGGGCAGGAGAGTGGACAGCCTTCTTCCACCTGATTTCAATCCACATTAGATCAGGTGATGCATCCCTGGGTGTGCACAGATGCATCAGTGCACCGAAAGGTTGCTGGTTCGGTTCCCGGTCAGAACATATGCACCGAAAGGTTGCTGGTTCGATTCCTGGTCAGAACATATGGGATCGATCCCCCATAGAGGGTGTGCAGGAAGCAGTTGATTGATGTTTTGTTCTCATATCATTGTTTCTCTCTCTCTCTCTCTCTCTCTCTCCTTCTCCCTTTCTCTCTCTCTCTCTCAAAAATCTATTTTTTAAAAATCTTAAAAAACACACATGTGAACAGTTCTGGCCTGTTTGGCTCAGTGGATAGACTAAGTGTCAGCCCATAGGATGGAGGGTCATGAGTTCATTTCTGGTCAAGGGCACATACCTTGGTTGCAGGCTCCATCCCCAGCCCCAATGGAGGCAACCAATTGATGTGTCTCTCCCCATCCCTTCCACTCTCTCTAAGAATCAGTGGGAAAATATCCTCAGGTGAGGATTAACAAGCAAACAAAGAAAAAAAAATGTGAACAGATGCAGCAAAAATAATCTTTCCACTGCTACCCAAGGCGTGGCCGCTCACCTGTAGCCTCTGATTGGAAAATGCCTGTTAGCTGTAACTTTACCAGGAAAGCAGAACCTGCCCGCTGAACCCAGGGGCACAGCATCCTGGTGTCCCGTAGGCTCAGAACTAAAGAAGGAAAGCCAGGGGTTTGGGGAGCTGGCAATATTTTCAAAATTTCAAAGAGCCCTAGAGCAAATGAGTACCCACCCCCCCCCCCACCACCTCCAGGTCAGCTCACAGGGCTAGAGAGTGACAGGGCTGAGGATGTGGACATTAAGATGTCAGTTTTCACCCAATCAGAATTGCTGCCCACAAGGACCCCCTCAGCTGCTGGGGTCTGGACCAGGGCCACTGTGTCTAGGACAGTGATGGCGAACCTTTTGAGCTCGGCGTGTCAGCATTTTGAAAAACCCTAACTTAATTCTGGTGCCGTGTCACATATAGAAACTTTCTTGATATTCGCAACCATAGTAAAACAAAGACTTATATTTTTGATATTTATTTTATATATTTAAATGCCATTTAACAAAGAAAAATCAACCAAAAAAATGAGTTCGCGTGTCACCTCTGACACGCGTGTCATAGGTTCGCCATCACTGGTCTAGGGTCTGCCTCAAGGGGGCTCCCTCTCTTTCTCTGAGGGTTGGAATTGTGAGCCTCTTTTTTTTTTTTTTTTTAAATATATTTTATTGATTTTTTACAGAGAGGAAGGGAGAGAGATAGAGAGTTAGAAACATCGATGAGAGAGACATCAATCAGCTGCCTCCTGCACATCTCCTACCGGGGATGTGCCCGCAACCCAGGTACATGCCCTTGACCGGAATCGAACCTGGGACCCTTCAGTCCTCAGGCCGACGCTCTATCCACTGAGCCAAACCGGTTTCGGCAGAATTGTGAGCCTCTTGACTGGGTGGGACCTTCCTTCTCTGAGGTGTTGGTAGTGTGGACTGGCTAAAACAAAATGGTGAGACAAATTCATTTTTCAATTCCTATTGCTTGGTGGTGGTGTTGTTGTTTTTTTTTTTTTTTTAAGTGAGTCTATAATGCGTCAAGCAGAAATGTTTAAAACTCTCCAACGAGTGAGAGAAACTAGGACTAGAATCCCCACTAGATATGTCTGCTCTCATCCAGGCCAAGAAAAAGCTGGCTCAGGGTGGGGAGTGGGGCCGGCAGGACCAGGATCCAGCAGAGGCTGAGGAGCGGGGGTAGTGAGCCCTCAGCTCCAAGCGGCTTCACCTGCCTGAGGCATGGCGTTTCCTGGTTCCTTTCTCCCTCCGCAAATGCACCTACGGACGGGGGTGCCTCTGGGGGAGGATGTGGAAGACAGGAGACCGCCTGGAGGCACAGGTGTGGGGCCTGAGTCCAGCAAAGTAGGTGGGGTGACCTCCCATCCTACTGGCAACTCTCCCACTGCTGGCTGGGCCTCAGCAGACTGACCCTCTCCTCTGACCACACGCCTGAGTGGGCTGGCCAGGTGGTGGGGATGGACTGTTGAGATGCCTTCTGAGAGGGGTTCAGGGAGAGCTGAGGGGCAGGCCTCCCCTCCCTGGCCTGATGGGAAGATTGCCCCAAACTCAGGTGGTCACATTGTCTGGCTACAGAGTTGAAAACCACGCTGATGTTGTTGATCCTGGTGGGACAAATCAGCCTGAGCGCCTTGATCACCATGTTCTTCGCCTACGGTGCCGAGCTCCTGCCTACCATCCTCAGGTACGAGCCTGGTGGGAGCAGGCCATGGGGGTGCGAAGGCGGGACAGTGACAAGACGAACAGCGGCGGCTAAGCTTGGGCATTCACCCGGTGACAGGCAGTGTGCTGAACAGCTTACATGGATTATTCCATCAAGCGCTCACAAAAACAGCTCCCAAACACCATCCTTAGCCTACGTAAGACAACAGAATCCAAGAGGGAAAGGCGCCTGCTCAAGGTCAGACAGAGCGAGCGGCAGAGCTAGCACTGGCCCCAGGCAGTCTGTCCCCGCGTCTGCCTCGCACGGACCGGCTGGGCCGTGGCTGAGTCTCAGGCCCTTCACTGCGGGAGAGCTCGCTGATGGCCCAGTGTCCTCCTACCCACGCTCTCTCCGCACACCCCCTCAGGGTTGCGTGGGTCTTACTTCTCCCACTCCTGACCCCACGAGGTAGGCCCAGAGAAATGACTACCTGCTTTGATCAGCAGAGAACGACACTCTCCCAGGTCACGCTGGGTGTGGGGACAGGGTGGAGCCTGGAGGGTGTGGACTGGGGGGAGCTGATTCTTCCAGCCTTTGGGCCTCCGAGGCCCCTTAGACAAGCTCTGATCTTTCCTTCCAGGACGACGGGTCTGGGGCTGGTAACTCTGGCCTGGGCATCTGGATCCTTTGTGTCCCTGGCATTCATCACCTGGAGTCCCCCCAGCATCACCAATTATATTGGCTGCATCTCGGCCATTCTGTCCTTGTCCCTCTTCTATATGCTTCCAGAGACGCAGAATCTGCCCCACTCCGATACGCTGGATCACTTTCCCTTGCACAGAAGAAGGTAGGTGTGTGAGGGCTTTGGTCAGCACAGGGCCTGGTTCTCAAGCTCTGAAAGTACGTCAGGTGCTGTCCATTCCTGCCCCTTTGCCCAAAGGGCCTGTGACGTAAGAGCCACCGTGTCCATAGCTTCTTCCCGCTCTCCTGATGCTGCCACCCAACCCTACCCATCCCCGCCCCTGCTCTCCCGTCCAGCCTGGGCCCGGTCCTTTCCTCTCTTTACCTCCTGGAAGCCTGCCTGGCCTTGAGCGCTACCTTATAGATGCCCTGGGCTCCCTGCCCTCCCAGGGCGAAGGGCACTGGCTGAGATCAGCTCTCTCGGCCTCAGCAGCTCAGGTCCCTGTTTAAGAACTAGGCTCTACCCCATCCCCTTCGTGGGCACGCTGGTCTCCTAAGTGCCCGCTGGAGAAGACTTGTGATTGGCAGAACCATCATTTCTGGGATTTGGGCCAACAGAGTGCATCACTCTCTGCGAGCAATAGTGAGGGGTCCTCCGCTCAGACCACAGGGGTCACTGCCTCTCTCGTTCTCCTGTCTTCCTCCCCACCATTCTCCTCAGACTCTCACTGGCACCACCAGGGTTGGGCTGTCAGTGGTAAGAGCAAGCGATAGTTTATGGCAGTGGTCGGCAAACTCATAAGTCAACAGAGCCAAGTACCAACAGTACAACGAT